AAGAGAGGGGGAAAATCTTAAGGGAGAGAAAAGAGAAGGTAATGAAATATATATGACATGAAAGCAGAGGGGACAACTATCTGAGGAAGGGAAGGGGAAATAGCCAAAGGACAGGAGTATAGAGCAGAGCAGTGTGGGAGGGGAGCAAACAAGACCAAAACATAACCACACATATGTATGCAGATGCCATATGGCACCATACAATGTATACTAACTTAAAAAGATTAATTAACAAACCCTTATTTAAAAAAGAAATAAATGGGGCTTAGTGGGAGCTTTTAAAAATGAAATCAAGCTGAGCTATAGTGGTACACAACTTTAATCCCAGAGGCAAGTGGATCTCTATGAGTTCAAGGCCTGTCTGGTCTACAAAGCGAGTTTCAGGATAGCCAAGGCTATTACACAGAGAAACCCTGTCTCAAAAAAACTGAAAAAAATTTAAATAAAAAGATAAAAATACAGACAACAGTTAATATTTTATTATTTACTGATGTTTTCTATTCATATGTATAAAGCATTTTGTATTTTAATATTATTACTATCAGCTGAACTATATGTCTCTACCAATATCTGAAAAATAAGATAGAGTTAAGTAACATAATTTGGGATTCAATAAACATTTTAAACTGATAGGTTTAGGAAAAATGGTTACTGTTACTTAACTCCACCATTTTTTTTTAGACTCACCTCCCCACTCCCACTCTAGACTATCGCCCAGCCTCTAGTGGGGCACTAAGGAGTTAGCCTTGATCCCCTCGTTTTGTTCTTCCCTGCCCACCAGGTTGTGGTTCTATCTTTTCCTCTGCTCACAAACTACCTCTGACCAGCTGTTTTTGTTTTTGTTGTTGTTGTTATAGTTGAATGCTCATTCTTAGACACCACCATGGCTGCTGCTAACAACGCCAAAGTTCATCCTGCAGTTCTGCTTGCAGTTTTCCTCCCAAGACATTCTAGGGTAGGGAGACTGGGACACAGTGGGCTGATTACCAACCACATCAGGGAAGATGGGACCCTGCACCTTGGATGCTGCAGCAGAGTGAAGAGGGCTGCCCACTCCCTTGTTTTGTGGGACAGGGACAGGGTCGGGGGTGGGGAGTCAGGGTGGTGGTGCCCAGTGTTTGTTGTGGCCTGGGTCACCCACTCTGGATCTCTATTTGCAGTTACTTGAATAAAAAAACAAACAAATAAAAACCAGCCTTTTCTGGGAAAAAGAATTAAATTTACAGTGTTTTCCTCCACAAGACGGCACACCTAGGTGGTATGCAAACGTAAGAAACAAGCTAGAACATTTTTTCTTAATCTGGAAAGTTCCAACAGAAAGCTTGAAGGAATATATTTTAACAATGTTTTCTTTCCTGAGGATGTCTGAAAAATCTAAGTGCATATTATTTAACTAGATTCCAAAGTTCAGGGCAAGATAGTGGAAAGATCCCTAATTTAAAAATTGTAAACTTTGCCCTTAATCTGTAAATTATTAAAAGAGGTAAATAAGTTTCCAGGTTTCCTTGTCAGATCTTCTCATGTGGACTGTTTCTTTCCTTATTCGTATAGACAGGGACTGGAGCAGAGCTCAGTGCTGCAATGGGTACTTAGTACGCACAAAACACTGGGTTCTATCCCCAGTATCAGAACGAAACCATGTATTTGTTAACATTCACATCTATAGAGAAGCCATACAAAATGTGAAACTCAAAGAAGACCCCGATGATTGACTCTTACATAGGAAAGATGGAGGCAAACTTTATAAGGGTAGTAAATGATTTGTAAGTGGAATGAACGAACTCATAGGGATCAGGGGCAAAATTCCTCCAGGTTCCATGTGAAGCTGTTTAATTTTTAATCTCTATCTGTAGTATGAGTTTAATCTTCCTTGGTTAATGGAATTTCTAGTCTTTACATCATTGTTATATAATGAAAATCAAGTCATTTATAGGAATTTGGCTCTTAGTTCTGGATGCTGAGCAGTGTAAGAGCATAGTTGTGTTCTCTGCTCTGCATTAACTGAGGGTACTCTCACTGTATCACAGCTGATAACAAAGATAAAGCACCTAGCCTGGGCCTCTTTTTTTGCAGAAATTGTTGTTTTTATTTTTTAATTATCTTTATTGAGCTCTCCCACGATCCCCATGCTCCCAATTTACTCAGGAGATCTTGTCTTTTTCTACTTCCCATGTAAATTAGATCCTTGTACATCTCTCTTAGGGTTCTCTTTATTATCTAGGTTTTCTAGGATTGTGAATTGTGGGCTGGTTTTTCTTTACCTTATGTCTAAAAGCCACTTATGAGTGAGTACTTATTATATTTGTCTTTATGGGTCTGGGTTACCTCACTCAATATGATGTTTTTAGATCTATTTATTTGCCTGCAAATTTCAAGATGTCATTATTTTTTCCTGTTCTGTAGTACTTCGTTGTGTAAATGTACCACATTTTCCTTATCCATTCTTTGATCGAGGGGCATTTAGGTTGTTTCCAGGTTCTGGCTACAGCAAGTATTGCTGCTATGAACAGATGAGCACACGTCCTTGTGGTATGATTGAGCATCCTTTGGATAGATACCCCAAAATGGTATTTCTGGGTCTTGAGGTAGGTTGTTTTCTAATTTTCTAAGAAATCTCCATACTGATATCCAAAGTGGCTGGACCAGTTTGCACTCCCATCAGCTATGGAGGAGTGTTCTCCTTACCCCCATATCCTTTCCAGCATAAGTTGTTATGAGTGTTTTTGGTCTTGGGCATTTTTACAGGTATAAGAAGGAATCTCAGAGTTGTTTTATTTTGCATTTCTCTGATGACTAAAGATGTTGAGCATTTCCTTAAGTGTCTTTTAGTCATTTTTAGATTCATCTGTTCAGAGTTCTTTGTTTAGGTTTGTTACCTATTTTTTATTGGATTATTTGTTCTTTTGATGATCAATTTCTTGAGTTCTTTGTATATTTTGGACATCAGCCCTCTGTTCACCTATGAACACCTGATTTTTGGCAAAGAAGCAAGAAATATAAAATGGAAAAAAAGAAAGCATATTCAACAAATGGTGCTGGCATAAATGGATATCAACATGTAGAAGAATGAAAATAGATCCATATCTATCACCATTCTCAAAACTCAAGTCCAAATGGATCAAAAACCTGAACATAAAACCAACCACACTGAAACTCATAGAAAAGAAAGTGGGAAGTACACTTGAACACATTGGCACAGGAGACCACTTCCTAAATATAATCCCAGTAGGCACAGACATTGAGAAAAACAATTAATAAATGAGACCTCCTGAAAATGAGAAGCTTCTGTAAAGTAAAGGACATGGCCAACAAGACAAACAGCCTACAGAATGGGAAAAGATCTTCACCTGGGTGTCTCTTCTTATGAAGTCACTAATGCTGGCATGGGACACCACCTTCATGATCTGACCTAACCTTAACTTCCAAAAGTTCTCTTCAAGACTATTGACCAGCAGCTTTGGGAATTCATTTTCCAGCATATGACGATCTTAAAGGTTACATTCAAACTATAGCAAACTGCCCCAAATATGTGTCATAGTCACAGATAAAACATGTTAATAAATTTCAATAGCCTCAAGTACTAACTTATGACAGCATCAACTCAAAAGACTGATCATGTGAATCGAATATGCATCAGAGTCAAGGTATAAACCATCTTAGGACAATTTCACTCTAGTTTTGAAACTATGAAATGAAAAAAAAATAAGCCATCTACTTCCAAAATAGACTATTGGGACAGGCATGAGACAGAAAATCCAGTTAAAGGGGGAAAATGGGCAACTACAAAGAGAAACTGGCACCAGACACACTCAAAATCCAACAGAGAAAACATTAAGTCTTAAACCTGGAGAACAATTTCCTTGACTCATGTCTCACCTCCAGGGCCTACTGTATAATAGTCCTGTTTGCATAGCTCCATTAGACATTTTTTCTAGTGGGACTATGTTGTGCTTCTTGATTCAACTAGCCGTCACATAGTGGATGCTGTCTGTGGAGTTGGACCTCACCTATTGGGAAGGTATTGATCCAGCAAGGCTTTTTTGCAGAGGCTCCACTTATGCCCTGGTCCCCAAAGTACTCTAGATGGGCGAGTTCATGTTCCCACAACTCTTAAACACTGTATACATGACAGACTTATCACTGTGGGAATGTCACCAAGGATTCCTCATTTGTACCTTTCTGAGCACCTGAACAATGAGTGCCACATTGCACTCATACGTTCTTGACCCATACTTGAACTATACCTGGTGAAGCCAGGAGTGCTGTGCCTTGAACTCTGTGATCTTGTACACCAGACTCTTGAGTAGCTGAGATTATAGGCACTTTATATTTTGTCTCACTGAAAAGACCTGTAGTCTCGAACGTACCTTCAATCTGTTTTCTTCTTAATATCCACTCTTATTTCACTGCAGAGTTTAAAATAGCCATGCAAGCTGGGTATGGGGATATATGATGGTATCCCCAGTAATGTAGAGGCAGCAGGAAGAGGAGTGGTAAAAGTTTAGAGCACACACACACACACACACACACACACCAAGACCCAGTCACAAACAGACAGTCAGACAAACAATACCCAAGAAAAACCTGCTGGTGTCTCAGCTTTGAAATTTCTCCTCCTCATATCTTTCTTTTGATTTTTAAGTTGCTCACTTAATCTTGATAATTTCTTTTGCCCTAGGATGTGGTGGATTCAACATAGCCAAGTTTTTTGCAGCTTTAACAAGTAAGCTCTTTGCTCCCATTTCCAAAACCTTGTTTTCTTTTCTTTTTTTTTAAAACCTTGTTTTCTTTAAAACTTGTTTTCAATTAAATTTCTTTTCTGATAATTATTAAATGAAGAGTCAAACTAAACCCTTATAGGTAATCTTTTTTATTTCACTGAAATGTGTCACATTTTGTTAATTATTGAAAATAGACCATGTTTAATGGAAATTATATTTCAGAACATCCATGAACCTATAGGCAGAAACATTCACAAACTGTACTTTAGTGAGTGTAAATTTGTCTCAGTGGCAATGGATACAGAGAAGAAAATACAGCTTAAGAGAGAACTTGGATATTTCTGGGGGGTAAATTTTTTAATTATCAATATAATTGGTGCAGGAATTTTTGTGTCTCCCAAGGGGGTGCTGCAGTACTCTTCCATGAATGTGGGAGTCTCCTTGTGTATTTGGGCTGTCTGTGCTGTGCTGTCCATGATCAGTGCGCTCTGCTTTGCAGAGATCGGAATAACCTTCCCATACACTGGGGCTCACTACTATTTTATCAAGAGATGCTTCAGCCCGGCTATTGCATTCCTGAGACTTTGGACTTCCTTGTTTTTGAGCCCAGGAGTAATTGCTAGCCAAGCTCTGCTACTCGCCGAGTATGGCATTCAGCCTTTTTATCCCAGCTGTTCTTCTCCGAATCTGCCAAAGAAATGCCTGGCGCTGGCAGTACTGTGGATTGTGGGAATTCTGAATTCTCGTGGCGTGAAAGAGTTGTCATGGCTTCAGGCGGTGAGCACAGTGCTGAAGATGGGCATACTTGGCTTCATTTCCCTCAGTGGCGTGGTCATGTTGGTGAAAGGGAAGAAGGAGAATGTGGGAAGGCTTCAGAATGCATTTGATGGAGAGTTTCCAGAGATCTCTCAGATAATAGAAGCTGTCTTCCAAGGATACTTTGCGTTTTCTGGCGGGGGATGCCTTACATATGTAGCAGGTAATTATCAATCTTCTGGGGGAAAGATCAGGCCATGGCTGATATAGTGCATGTATGAAATAAACATCTTTCACTATGTATTAACTATCAAATTAAATGTACAATTCAATGATTTTTTTACTTTGACTTTCTAAATTATGTACTCTTAATTCTTCTCCACATTCAAGGCATTTCAAATCACTATGAAAACAAATAAAAAATTCTCTTTTGTCTATATGATTGTTTAATGTGGAGCTCCTCTTAGTGAGGTTAGATCTCATGAAGTTTCTGTTCAATGTTCTATTCCTACTATTTAAACTTAGTGCCTATTTTCTACTCAAGGACCATGGAGACTGGGGAAGGATGCAAATGGAACAGGCCCCGTGAGCCCAGACTCTAGAATTTTAAAAGGTCCAGTGTGCACTAGTTTGCCTTTGAGTATGTGTGGGTGTGGTAGCAGAATGAATGGAAATAATGTAGTCCAACAATACTGTGACACACACACAATTTTAAAGATAAGTTTAAGAAGTAATCTTTCCCCAAATCTGATCTTGTTCTTTTATGCATTATAGGGGAGCTGAAGAAACCCAACAAAACAATTCCTAGATGCGTATTTACAGCACTGCCTCTAGTAACTGTGGTATATTTACTGGCTAACATTTCCTACATGACGGTTCTGACACCCAGGGAAATCCTCTCTTCAGGTTTGTACACAAATAACAAGATAGTAAATAAAATACAGTTCATTCAATACAGTGAAACATCACTTTGCCAGTCAGAATGGCTGTCTCCTGGTCACTATTCTATATAGAGACTCAATTGATGAGGTTCTAATAACAGGGTGAGGAGAGTCTGACTTGGTTTAGAACGAAGATTCATTTCAAGAATAGCTGTGCATTTTCTGACAATGTGGAAAAGTCAGTTACAGTGCCAATGTGTGTCACAGATTCAAAATATTAATTACTGTTTGCATGATCTCAGGCATAGTGACACTACATGATCAGCAATTATATCTATGAATACTTGCAAATGCTGAATTCTTAGTAACCTGTGTGACACTAAGTATGGTAAATTTGAAATAAGGGATATTAACAGCTGAATAAGTAAACACTAATGGTCAGTTGATGACTATAATTAATATTATTAATATGTAAAATAAATATTTTATCTTAAATAACTCCAAATTTTATGCTGAAAGAAGATCCTAAATAAACTGAGATTTTGATTAAAGCTTAAATTGAAGAATGGAGAGTTAAAGACTATGCCAAGGATAATGGTATATGCCTGTGATCCAGAGCATTTGCAAGGCTGATATCTAGTTTAGAAAGACCCCCTCCAAAAGAGAGAACGAGAAGTTCTCAAAGAGAAATGAACAGTTATTTAAGGAGGAATAGCAGAAATAAGGGGTAAAAGAAAATTTGGGAAAAGTGAAAAACAGGGAAAAATGAAAGAATAGCTGTTTTCTCTCACCAACATCACACCTCAAGCGATTACCTTCTGAGATAAATCTGTCACCCAGTAGCTTTGGACTAAGCAGTATAGAGAAACTCTTCTTGTTTTGGTGAGTGTTTGAGACACAGGAGGTAAGTCTCTTTTTTGACCTGGAGCTATATTTATAAAGTATTTTACATACATATTTTTAAGGTGTCATATTGTACTTTATTATATTGTATACAAATGTAAAACCAGGACATTCAAGATTCCCAGGTTTTTTTTAACATGATCATTTGTTTATTTTGGGATATTTCACATCTCAGGGAAGATTTAGGATAAAACCCCCTCAATTGCCTAAATTGCAATGTGTCCACTCCACAGGGGGCTGGCAGGTAGTGTGTCACGCTAGAGTTGATTCATTAGGAGTCTAGGTATCCTTAGCATGAGAAATGAGATAGAATCAATCTTCTGCCAGGACAAACCAAATGCAACCATGTGCAAATACAGCCACTGATTCATTAACTCCCTCAGCTGTGTCAGGGTTCATTTATAATGTAAATTGTGGTTGTGTCCACAGCCACTGGCCTGTGAGTATTGAGGCTGTGGGTCACAAGGCTGACATTCATTATGACTGCCAGGGCTCTGGCTATATTGACTTTTAAAGAATTATGAAATCATCCCTGGCATATCATAAAAATTGCAACAATTTTATAGGAAGCACAACAGTTTGAACTTATATGGAAAACTCAGGAAGCTTCTGTTATTTGTAATTTGTTTTTCATCACTGCCTCTTCCAGAACTATATATAAAAATACACATTTAGGAAAGGCCATCATATCATCAGTTATGGTAGCACAAGGTTAAAGATCACCAAAATATGCAATAAGTTTGAAATAAGTAACTCAGCGAAGTCCACATAATAGACCATTCTGGGATCTTGTTTAAAATTTTTTAAATTGCATTTATTTATATTTTTGTGTGTGTGTGCATGTGTGCCATATTGTACATATGAAAGTCAGAGGATGACTTGTAGGAGTTGTCTCTCTTCTACCATGTGAGTTGCAGGGATGGAACCCAGGTCTTTAGGTGTGGCAGCAAGCACCTTTCTCTGCAGAGCCCCCACACTGGCTCTATTCTGAGGTTTTTAGAAAATCATATTGTTGATCAACACTTAAGAGGACAACGGTTATGATGTGTTAATGATGGAAAAGATTCTATATTTTCTTCCAAAACAGGGGAAAACCAATGAACAATTGTACTCAGTTGGGATGAAGTTGTGAGTGAATTTTTTTCTTGCCTTATGGGGTGCATGATTTATATAACTACAGAGATGGTTATAAACAAAAGAGATAGGCTCGTTATGAGTTAGGAAAGGTGGGAAGCATGTTTTTGTATAGAAATCAATCAAGTACATAGAAATATGTGTAAGTTTCCCAAAGGAATATTTTATAATATAATGTGAATTGAGGTTACATTTGATTTGAGGAACATTGGAATCTATGATAATAGTTCTTGTGGTTTATATAGAAAAGAGCACAGATAGTCACATGTAAGGTATTTAATCTGTAGATGCCAGATCTCTGTCTTCTTTTCACTTATTGTGAATAAAGTCCAGCAACAGTTATTGTTATCTTAAAAAAAAGTTCTTAAGCTGGGTGTAGAGGTGTCTGCCTTTAATTCCACCCCTTTTGAGGCAGAGGCAGGTGGATCTCTGTGAGTTAGAGGAAGGCCTGTGTGGTCTACAGTCAACATAGCAAGTTCTAGGACTACATAGAGAGACCCCCATCTCAAAACAAAACAACAACAACAAAAGTCTTCATTGTGAAAGTTGTGTATGTGAGAAAAGAAGGGCGTTTCTCTAGAATTGAAGTGTAGAAATAGTGTGGTAAGGATTCCTGGCGCCAACATTTTGAACCTGAAGACCAGAGTTTTAGAAGCCTTTCTGCCAGGTTGTTGACAGAAGTTTCTGAGCCACGGGATATTAACATAAGGCAAATAACCTAAATGGTTAAGAACTGATGTGGAAACAGATATAAAGAAAGGTTCCTTGTTCAGGCAGCCTATAGGAACTTAGGCACAAATATTGCAATAAAAAATTTGAACTGTAAGTGGAACTTTTCGAATTAGTTACTCATAAACTGATATAATCTTTGCTGGGATAGCTCTGTAGTATTTCTCTTATTTAAGAAATACATTCTTATGGGCCAGTGACCAGTGAGATGGTTCAGTGGATAAAGTACTTGCTGCAAAACCTTGGTGATCTGAGCTGGATCCTTGGAACCCATGGTGAAAGAAGAAAACTGACTTTGAACTGAAAGTTGTCTTCTGACCTCTCTCTCTCTCTCTCTCTCTCTCTCTCTCTCTCTCTCTCTCACACACACACACACACACACACACACACACACACACACACACACAAGAATAATACATAAATGAAAATTTAGAAAAAAATTGTATGCTCACAAATCTAGGAATGTGCTCTAAAGAGAAATATATAAATATTTAGAATTAAAGGCACAGAAGCTGGGCATGGCTGATCTACACAGGTAGTTCCAGGCTAGTCAGAGCTACATAATGAGACCCTGTCTCAAAATTTAAAAATAAAATAAAATAAATGGAAGAAACAATTTGTATGAGTAATTTTGATTTCTTAAAATAATTTATTGGTTTGGTCAGTGGGGTACATCATGCATTAAATTATTTATCATGCATTAAATTATTTCACATTATTTTTATGAGTGTTTTTATTAAAGTACATTTTTCTTTGTGGGGAGTAAAATCTTGCTGTACAGCCCAGGCTGGCTTGAAACTCTGTTCCTCTCTTTAGCTTTCCTATTACAGGAAGGTTGCCATACAGTTCAGCTTTAAAGCACCTTTCCCATTACTTAAAAAATGAAAACAGCCAAGAAAATCTATCAATACAGGACAAGTAGATAATTTACAGTTATATAAGAGAGTACTGAGAAGTAACTAAAATAATTATATGGATTTATATGTACTACTATGACCAAGATACACTAGAAAGTGAGCAAAAGCAAACATAAGCGTCCAATCACACAAGCACCTCCATACCCACACATGTGCACACACAGAACTCAAGCATACAACCCACATAGACTGATAGGGGTCATTATAGAGAAACTCTGGAAAGGGAATCAGACATGTTTGCAGCATTTGCATTTGGAACACATGAATGAAAACTTGGTGAGGAGAGGAACTTTTTGACTTTGTAGGCTTCAGTGTTGTTCATTTCACTTTTTTTTTACCAAATATATATTGCATTGAGCATATTTTCAGCTATTCACTCAACACAACTAATATATTTCTCAAGTATTTGTTGAAAACTCACTATTACTGTGTCTGTCAGTGAATAAACTACTGATGTTATGTTATAGAAGGTATGTGAGGGGTCTTTGCCTTTAAAAAGTTCCTAGTATTTTGAGAAAGACATAAAATCAACCATTCATGATGCAGGGTGATGAACTGAAATAAGCATAAACCTAAGATACTACCTAAAAGGGAAATAAAAAAGTTAAATTCTTTTCATAAATTTTTCTTTTAGATTTTGTATATAGGTTTATCATTAGATTCTCTCTCTCTCTCTCTCTCTCTCTCTCTCTCTCTCTCTTTTACTTTTTAACACACTTCTTTTTATGTTTATTTTTTTCTCTGTAGATGCTGTGGCCCTTACATGGACTGACAGAATCATCCCCAAATTAACATGGACTGTTCCTTTTGCTATTTCTGCCTCATTGTTTAGCAGTCTTGTGATTAATGTACTTGAGGTAGCAAGAGTGGTATATATTGCAGCCAGGCATGGCCAGCTGCCACTGATGTTTAGTACCCTTAATGTTCACTCCTCTCCATTCATAGCTGTGCTTCTAAATGTCAGTTTGGGATCACTTGCAGTTGTCTTAACAAACTTAAATGAACTGATAAACTATCTCTACTTTGCTTCTTCCATTTGGACTCTGTTATCCATGATAGGAATCCTGAAACTGAGGTACCAGGAGCCCAATCTACAAAGACCTTATAAGGTAAATATGGGGTGGGTAAATTTGTTCTATGTGAAATAAGACATATGACTGTTTGGAAGGAGACTGTTCAGATCTTCAAGCAAAAGTGTTACTGCTCAACAAACCAAGAAACAAACATAGACCATCTGGTCTCCATTTTCATTCTGTTTGTAGTAAATAGGTTTTACTTAATACAAAATATTTGAAGTTCAATCTAAAGATTTGTTAGTGAGAAAGGCAGATGTTTTTGGGTGGTAAGACAGACTGTTGGGAATTATTTGACCTGAGGGCCCTTGGTTTACTTACATAGCTATTTACACATGCTGTTTCTTCTACAGTAAGGGCAGATTTAGCAAATGATAGACAGAAGAAGTGAAGTCCAGTTATGAATGGTATTTACTGTTCTGAAATATCGGCTTATTTTGATCTTCAAAAGATTCCTTTATTTCAACTTGATTACTATATTATTTTTATGTAAACTTGCGACTACTTGAGGGGAGAAAATATATCATGTAAAAGGAGGACATTCTTTCATAACAAAAGATAATACACAAAATCTTGTCAGCATGAAGACATTATGGATAGATCCTATGCCTATGTGAATAATAGAATAGTCTTGATTGACTGGTAACATGTCCAAACACAGGATCACCTGTCATACAAGAATCACCCTTCCCATTATATCCATAGCAGAGAAGAGAGATGGATTTAAAGAAGGCATGTTACTTGTTTAAGCCCATAGAGCATGGAATGAAGCTAAGATTCAAATCTCCTCAGTCTCTTTGGAGTATTTGATTCTCAGTATACAATATAAGAACCTTTAGGTGTGCCTAGTTAGAAAACTTTTTTTGTTGCTTGCTATACTGCTTATGCTTCTAATATTAAGGCTATGAATTAAGTAGGTAATGATTATCAGTTGAGAAGTTGAGGGACAGAAAGGGTAGGAGATAAGGGAAAAAACTGGAAATTATTGTAATTATTATTAGAAGCTTAAGGAAACAAATATGATTATAAAACTGTTTGTGCAAACTATTGAAACTATATAAATAAAAATGGCTCAGGTTATATGGGGCCATATTTGTTTGGAAAAAAGAAAAAAGAACCTAGGGGAAAAGAAAGCCACCACCACCACCACCACCATCATCAGTCCTCAACACCAACACTGTTGATTTACCACTATCTTTTCTTTTCAGTCTTCTCTTATGCTTCTTCTATTCAGCCATCATCTAACTCTTGGATATCTGAGAACTCATGTGATTATATTTCAAGCACCTTGCTAGGTTCTCTTAGTACAAAAAGAAATGAGACTTGGTCCCCAGTTTTAGGCAAGGTTATCTTCCATTTGGACACCCAGTGAATGCTAATTGTGTACCGACAGTAACACCCAGAGGAAGACTGGAGAAGCCCCAGGGGTATCTAGTGTATGGCTGGTGCCCATGAGCTCCTTGGAAGCCCTTCCATGGGATGTCCTCATTTCCTAATTTGCACCTTTATCTTTAAAAATTATTTGCTTCTTTCCTGTTTTCTGACTCATGCGTATATCGCTGATTAGGTAAATTGAAGGGAAGTTATGCATTGTTGGTACACAGAGAAACACAAGGTAAACACTATAGTTTGGCTTCAAGTATAGTTCCCTACCCTCTTTTCTAAGCCTCCTCTTGCTATTTCACTGCTGATCCTCAGATCTTTCATATCTACAATGGACAGACAGTCAATACTTGCCTACTAAGAAATTTAGGTGCATTATCTAAGCAAAGGCATACAAAAATACAGGGTATGATATAAAAAGCTTATATATATAATTATATTATATATAATTATATTATTATTATTTGACTTACATTTGCTCAAAAAGGAAGGTCAGTGCAATTCTTAGGCACAAATGGTTAAATATTTTTTTGTCTTCCTTCAGAAGTGTTTACATACTTCACTCAATTATTTGATAAAATTTCTGAGCTGTGAGACAGTGATTTATCTTTCTTAAGGGCCTCTAAACAATTAAGAGGAGACCATTATTTAAGACTCAAATAAATGACCCTTTCATTAAAAACTTTTAATAATTTCAATCAGCTTTAATGTACAATTAGGGTATAGATTTATATCTTTTATAGACATTTAAAAATTGATAGTCTAGAAATCAGGTTGTATATGCCTATAATTCAAGTTAATGTAGAAATGTAGAGGCTTTTGTGAGGTTGAGGCAGGAAAACGATGAGTTCAAGATCAACCTGCCTAGTGGGACCCTTAAAAAAAAACTAGCTAACAAAGAAACAAAAACCAAGAGTAATATAGCAATGTTAAGTGTGGGATGTTTGTATTTCTGACACAATCCAGGTACCAAGGATGAATCCTTCCTTTCTTTGTCAAAAGAAAATAGTATTGTTTCAGATAAAAGATTTTTTATCTTGATATATTCCTTTCTTAATCTGTGAGACCTACACAATCCTAATATTTAACTGTTGATATTAACTTGATGAAAAGAGGGTAAAAATAGTTCTCTTGACTTGCTTACTTCTTTTGAAATATTTTCTGAGAGAGATTGTCCAGACCTCCAGCAGGTTCAGCAATTCCTTCTGAATAAGTTCATGACACCTATGACTGCAGGTGGTCACAACAATCAGCATGTGCTTATGACCATCTCCACTCATGAAGAGTCTCCAGAATTTCCTTTTATTGTAGCATTGAGTTCTGAGCACATTGATCTAACTCAGAGGCCTGCTTAGCCTATTTCTGATCATCAGAGTCACGTTATTTTTACTTATATGAACATTCAGCTAACACACACGAATTTTCAGATCTAATTGCTTTCTTTAATTTTGTCTTTTCAGGTTTTTTTACCTTTCGTATTCATAGGAATCACAATCAGCCTATGCTTGTTTTTTATTCCCCTTGTCAAGTCCCCAAAGATGCATTATATCTATGTGGTCCTCTTCCTTCTCAGTGGATGGCTGTTTTATGTGCCATTGATACACTTTAAAGTGAAGTTGGTTTGGTTTGAGAAGTTGACTTGCTATCTGCAATTACTTTTTAATATTTGCATCCCTGATGTATCTGATGAGCAAGTGTCAGAAGTAGAAAATTGAAAAATAATAGCCTTTAATTACGACACCATGTTCCAGATAAAGGTTAAGTGTAGGCTGGAATAGTAATGATGGCAAATCTAGAAACTGAAATGGTATATAGAAAAGTACCCGGGAAGTTCCTAGTTTTAAAATGGCAAAGGAAAGGGTTGGGAAGAAGATTCTACTGTTAAGGACACCAGTTGATCTTCTGAAGGAGTGGACTTCAATTCCCAGCTCCCACATGGATGTTCACAACTATCTGTAACTGTCACAGGGGATCCAATGCCCTTTTCTGGATTTTGCAGGCACTGTATCTACATGGTGTACAGAGATACATGTAGATAAAACACCCATACACATTTAAAAAAAGAAAGAGAGAAAGAAAGAAAGAAAAAAAAGAAAGTGAAAACTATCAAAGAAGTTGTTACACATATCAAAACCTCTGTTTTAATAAAAAGTAAAATTTCTAGTTTGTATAGCTTCACATATTAGTGATGTGTTTCTCATTTTTCTGTTTGTTTATCTCACCCATTTTGTACTGAATGTGTTCTTATAGTAAAAATTAATGGTTGAAAATAAAGAAAAATTCTGTCAATAGTTTTTTGTGTGACTGTTCTCACTCTGTAGCCCATGCTGGCTTTAACTCCTCCCAGCACTCCTATTGTTTCAGCCTCCCTAGGACTGAACTGACATGTAGCTTGATTAATAAAAACCCAGAGGCAAATATCGGGTTTCAACCTGAAAGTCAGAAAAGCAAAACAGCCAGTCACCGATTGTTACCTCTACCTCAGTCTAAAATGGCTACCCTGCCTCCAGGAATCTGACAATGACTTAGTGTAATGATCTGTTCCGTCCCTTTAAGAGACAAGCCACGCCCACTCCCTCTTCCATCTATCTAGGGAAGTTGATCTTCAGCTTGCAGCCTGAGTCTTTTCCTTTTCTGTCTCCCTCTCGAAGAGGCAGCTTCTGCCTCTCCCCACTTCTCCCCTTCCCCTCCTCTGTCTCTCTTTCCCCTCTCTCCCTTCCTCTTTCCCTCTCTGCTCTTCTCCCTTCTCCCTTTCCCCTCCATAACCTACTAGATAAATGTCCAACCTCACTCTGCATGGTGTGCCTATCCATGTCTCTGTCTCTTGCCCGCCATGTGGTTCTCTGCCAGAGACCAGCCACCTTCGGAGACTTGTGGCATGGTCTATTGCGCTGTCCCTGCCTGGTACTGGCTGCTCTCGGGACCTGTTACCCACTGCCGCCTCATGGCCTGCAGTGTTTCTGCCACTGCAGTCACTTGGGGATCTGCAGCAATTTTTACTAATCCATTACACTGAGAGCTGTCTCCTCCTGTCTTATTTTCCCCTCTAGGGATGGAATTAAAGGCGTGCACCACTACCACCTGGTTTCTATGCAAACTAGTTTGACTACTGGGATTAAAGGTGTGTGTCACCACTGCCTGGTCTGTAAGGGTGACCAGTAGGGCTATTTTACTCTCTGATCTTCAGGCAAACTTTATGTATTATAATACAAATGAAATATCACTGCACTGACAACCAGAGCCTCTGCTTTTGTTCTTGCCTTCCCTTCTCAGTGATGGGCTATGATCTGTAAGTTAAGATAAACCCCTTTCTTCTCCAGGCTAGTTTTGATCAGTGCTTTATCACAGCAACAGAAAAACAAGCTAGTACAGATACATTTACCAAGCTTCTCATCTTCAAACCCAAAGTGCTTTAACTAGTCAAAGTGGTCAAATGAAGTGTTAACAGGGACTGTGTTAGTTACCTTTCCTGGAATTGTGATAAAATACCTTGACATGTAGTTGAAGGGAGAAAGGGTCTATTTGCACTACAGTACCAGAAAGGCGTGGCTTACTAGGTCAGGAAGATATGGTGGTAGGCAGGGAAGTCTGTTGGCAGAAGCAAAATTCACATTCTTCCATCCAAGAAGCAGAATGTGAACAGAAGTCAGGCTGTAATCAAAGTTTGAGTTTTTCTTTTGTCCCAACTGTTTGGTCCCAAATAAACACACAAAAGCTAATATTAATTACAAGTGCTGGCTGACAGCTCAGGCTTATTACTTACTAGCTCTTACATTTAAATTAACCAGTTTTTATTAATCTATGTATTACCATGTGGTTCCTGGATTTACCGCTAGCATCTGGCAGCTACCTGCTTTCTACCTCTGCTTCCCTGGCAGCTGGCTCATGTCTCTTTTGACTCCACCCTTCTTCTTCCCCTCCTTAGTTCCCTAACCTTAACCTTCCCCTAACCTTATCCTGCCTGGCTATTCGCCAGTCAGCTTCTTTGTTAAACCAATCAGAACATAATTTACACATAATTTAGTACAGGACTATTCCATAGCCCAGGTCATCTCACAAAGCCTCAAAGCTGGTCCCTAGTAACTCACTTCACCAGTAAGACTGCCTTTTGAAGGTTCCACAAGAATCCCAAACAGCACTACTGGCTGTGAACTAAGTTTTCAAACCCTCAGAGGGGCCATTACACTTCAAATCAAAACAATGATAAAAGATAGTAACCATTTAGAAACCTGTTAGTTACCTGTACATTGGACTTTACACCCTGAGTCGTATTTATTTGCTTCTTTCCTGTTTGACTTCACTGTGGTCCCTAGGCTGTCCTCATACTTCTGTACCAGCATCCCAAGATTTCAGAGGACAGTCCTAAACCTAGCTATAAGTAGACTTTCTTAAAATGAGAATTAAATGAAATAATAGACTAAAGATAAAAAATTATTTTTTATTTATTTAGTTTTTAGTTTTTAAGTTTTTTTATTTTTAGTCTACTATTTAGTCAGTGATTCACACATTGTAAATGTTAAATATCATATTAAAATAAAGCCCCTGTATTACTTTATTTATTTTTAATAATCATATTAGTAACACCCAGAATTCAGCCTGAGGTTGGTGTGCAAAGTAGAGACAATCAGAAATTATAAAACAGTGTTCTACAAAATCAAAAAAACAAATTAACAGAAAATATAAAATAAATTTTTACTAAATGAATAGGTAAAGTGGACAGATGAGTGAAGTCACAAAGTGTCAAGAGTATAGTAACCACTTGTTATTCTAACTTGCTAAAAGAAACATAGAATTCAAATGGATGCTGTGAAAAATTCAACAATTTAAGATAGCATGGTAAAACGCTAGAACATTAACTTTCCACAGAACACTGTGCTGTGACCCTGCTTAAAAAGTGGTCTGTTGCATGATGGGAAGTTCCTGGAGCCCCTTGTAAGAAAACTCTTTGAATTGGATTAAGGTTTGAGCATGTCTCACCTTGTCTGGAATTTTAACTAATAATACTGCATACTTATCTAGCCTCAAATTTCAATTTATGTAATAGACATTCAGTATCTTGCCATAAACAGAACTCATTAAAACAAACGAAATGTACCAGGACAAAGTGTTCCTCACAAAAGCCAATGGCTTCTGTAATTCTCTTTCTTTCCTGAGTCTCAAGGTTCTTACTGAGCACAAGCAGAATTCCACCCAGAATTTCATTGACTGCTGATTTCAATCTTATCACAGCAGTTCTGTATTTTCAAAGGGAAAAGGTATCATTGGAAGATATTTTATTTTGTTCACAGGAAATAGGCACAATGTTTTTCACTGAAAAATCCTGGCTTACACACTTTCTGACGTCACACCCACCCTCAAAGCCCATTTTCCTTTTGGAGTTTTTAAAGAGCTGGTTAGCAAGTTCTATAGATGTTGGTTACAAAGCAGAATCCAACTGCTATGAGAATGTGTCTCCTGGAAATGGCAGGGAGGCTTCACCCATGATAGCTCAACAACATGACTGCCTAAATAAAACCTGAATGAGTACAACACCAATAGCCAAGTTAATTAGAAGAGGACAATCTAATGGGGTCCAATCTCTAGATGAAGAACTATAGAAGTCAAAAAGATGCTGAGAACCAGAGAAATAATCTTCTCTAGGATGACCCCAATTGATTATCTAATACCAAGTAGTCAGTTCTTGTAGCTTAACTCCTGTACT